ACTAGAGTGAAAAGAACGCATCAGAAGTCTTTAATGTTGAAATAATGATTGATTTCTGGATGTTGCAATAGGTGCATAATTAATAGAATTATTAACTTCAGTGAGTGCATAATAGTTTATGAATGTCAACAAGACACTGTTCCCACTTTAGATCCAGTAGCTACAAAGATGCATTATGAGCTGTTGATAAGTGCATATTAATAATTTATTAACCTTTATACTACATTGTTCGCACTTTAGATCCAGTAGCTGCAAAGACGCATTATGAGCTGTTAATAAGTGCATATTAATAATTTATTAACCGTTATACGACACTGTTTCCACTTTAGATCCAGTAGCTGCAAAGGATCATTATTTGCTGTTAGTAAGTGCATAATTAAGCATTTATTAACCGTAAGATTCAACAACAGCTTCGTCCCCAAGGCCATCACAGAACTAAACAAAACTCTAAAACGGCAGTGACGTGTAAATGTGTAAATGTGTCTGTGTTATACTGTATGTTATGTGTTTGAGAATCCATGTGTGTGTGGCAAATGTATGTTGTATCTGTGGGGTATGTGTATATGTCGGGTTGGCACTCAAGATGTTTCGAAGCGTGAAGAAAATTTTCCTAATAGGACAAATAAACTAATCTAATCTAATCTAATCTAATATGGTATTTATATTAACTTCTTATTGTCTCATTAATGTTAAAAAACATCTTGTTAATATTGAAAATTGTCTATAAACTCATAAGGATGTTCTAGTACCCAATAATATCTTAAAAGCCAATAATAAATGTGTTGTATACTATTATTAACACTCATTAGGTCTTTAATTATGTTAATAAACCAGTCTTATAAACCAGTAATAAATGTGGATATTATTCTATAATTAACCCTTATAAATTATAATTAATGTAAATAGACATTTTATTAATATTTAGTATAGGTTTATAAACTGTTACCAAAGTTTCTATTAAGTGCTTATAATGCTCCTATAAGCAATAATAACTGTCAGTTATGCTCATTAACTGTTAATTTGTGCTTATTAAGCATTAATTAACGCTTATTACAGTACCTTAATATAAAGTGTCACCAAGTATTTTTGTCTCTTTACAGCATAGAAAGTTTATTTTTTTAAACAAGACCATCTTTCCAGCCGTAAAATACTTCTTTCAGTACTTACTGTATTTCTATTCTCATTGCCAGAGTGATTTGTGGTTCCAGTGCAATCCAACTGACGTGTGAAACCTGTGAATATATACGAGTGGGATTTAACAATAACAGTTTTACAATCCATAAAATATTATATTAACATTAACAAGATGAAGTGTTAGTCTTTACAATGTAGTGAAATGTACTCGTTTGATCTTATGCTTTAATGTAGTGTAATGTACTCGTTTGATCTTATGCTTTGTCCTCAGATTGACCTTTAAAAATACCTGTCGAGGCAGTGTACTCTGCTCACGTACACCCAGTCACATATTGGTTTACTATTTCATGTATCCACATACTACGCGCACACACACACACACACACACACACACACACACACACACTCACACTCATCTGTCTGTGTATAGCATGTAAGCACTTAAGACTGTAATGGAAAGTACCTAGGATTCAATGTGCATTATTTTTAAAAAATAGCGTGAGACTGGACTCGAACATAATGGTGGGAAAGGTTTGGGAAATTCCAGCCCGGCCTAATATGGCCTGGAGATATGAATCGTTCCCAGGCTGCTCAGAAAAGATTACATGGTTAGAACTGGCTTCGGCGGAAAAGAGAAAAATCGTGACACCATTATGTTCGGGCTCAGGTGGGTAGGATTAAAGAAAAAAAGGTGGAGATTTGACAGAATCTTCACCAGCATTAAAGAGAGCGCACAGAAAGTGAAACCTCAGTCCTGCTCCGGAGCTTGACTCATTGAGTTGTATGTGTTGTTGCCTGCTAGCACATTAAACTCAGTTGCACTTGATTCAACATGTCTCCAGTGATTCCTTGGCTATAGACTACTTGAGTTTAAGGTACTTAATAGAAAAGAAAGTAAGTACAATTTGAAAGTTGAGGACGAGGTCGGGAGCCACCAGGCCCAACTCCAGGCTGCAAATTCTGCTTCATCAACAAACTTCTTGGCCCATCCGTCTTTCTTCACATTGAAGAGTAAAGTTGCTTGTTGCGACATTTTGAGATAGCACAACTGGATCATTAGAGTAGTTTGGTAGGGATGCTGCTTATCAGTCAGGATGCCATGCACCAAGCACCTCACTACCTAAAGTGTGATAGATGAATGTCCACTAACATTCACAAAGGCAGCTCTTTGCAGTAAATTGTTGGCAATTAACTAGCCAGGCTGTACAGAATGAATCATAATAATTATTGTAACAATAAAAACGAATTGAGTAGCTCTGAATATTGACATGCAGGCCAATATTGCTATTTTTTTAACAAGGCATCAAGTTGCAGCAACAACTCCTGGCAGATCCCCAGTCTTTGATACTCGGTCAGGCTTAGTCTCTCAGGAAAATCCTTGTTTTCAGTCAGTTCAGTCAGACCACATTCACAGAGAGGGGTGACGAAATAGGCAAAGTAACTGTCTTTAAGCATGTCAATGGGTTGCAAAAGATGTTCCAGTTGTAAATTTTCTGAACACTGGACATAAGCCATTTCTCATTTGTTTTTGGAAATATGTTTGGCAATTCATTTCACTGCCACAACACTGTTGTGAAAGAGTCTTAGGAAATCCCAGCAGTCCTGCATCCATCTGCTGTCAGTAATTCTAACAATCATAAGATAAGCTAAGATCAGATCAGGTCAGGTCAGGTCAGGTGAGGTAAGGTAAGATAAATAAGATACACCTTTATTGATCCCATAATTGAGAAATTCAAGTGTTACAGCAGTCAAGGAGAAAGAGTCAGATTAAAGATTTCAAATTTAAACTTAAAAAACTTAAATAACTAGGCATGCAAATAAGTACAAAAATACAAGAGATGGCGATAAATAACAATAATAATAATAATAATAATAATAATAAATAATTCCTCAGAGATGACAGCTTGGCTGTCATCCTCCTTTCTCCCACCACCTGAGTCCAGAGAGCATCCCAGGACAGAGCTGGCCTTCTTGATCAGCTTGTCCAGTCTCTTCCTATCTGCAGCCTAGACGCTGCTGCCCAGCAGACCACTCCGTAAAAGATGGCTGATGCCACCACAGTGTCAAAGAAGGTCTTCAGGAGTGCCCTCTGCACTCCAAAAGACCTCAATGATTATATGCATTGTCACTTTAATAGTTTGTTTTCAAAGTGATCATTTTCTTAATACAATTACTGTATCTACATCTATATAATTGCACATAATAACTGTTCTTAGTATGTATAATGGCAGTGAATCGAGTGGCACTGATCTTTGCATCTAACCCCTGAAAACAAGAAAGAGAAGAAGCACATTTACTATGATGCCAAGCTGTGCCTTCAAACTATTTTTGGGCTGCACCTTACATGGAAAAATGTAACAACTATACATACACTCATGAGCCACTGTATTAGGTACACCTTACTCAGAATGAGTAGGACCCCCTGTTGCTTTCAGAATTGCCTTAATTCTTGGTGGCATAGATTCTACATTCCTCAGAGATTTTGGTCCATATGGATATGATAGCATCACGCAGTTGCTGCAGATTTGTCGGCTGCACATCCATGATGCGAATCTCCCGTTCTACCACATAGCAAAGATGCTCTATTGGATTGAGATCTGGTGACTATGGAGGTCATTGGAGTACAGTGAACTCATTGTCATGTTCAAGAAACTAGTTCAAGATGAATTGAGCTTTATGACAAGGCACGTTATCCTGCTGGAGGTAGCAGAGATGGGAGTAAGTCATGTATGTGCAAGTCTAAAGTCATTACCTTCAAGTCTGAAGCAACTCCCTAGTCACTGTGGTGAAAATCAAGCAAGTCGAGTCCTTGCTGTAAGTTGAGGAAGCCGAGTCAAGTCATTGGTCAGGACAAGCGAGTCACAAGTCAACTCATATTCACAAACTCATACAGATAATATAACAAGCTGTACCCAGTGGTGGAATATAACTAAATACACTTACTCAGGTACTGTAAGTACAAATCTGAGTGCCACTGTCTACCTCTATCTGACAGCTTTAGTTACTATTGTTTTTGCTTTTTATTATTCAGTAATTTTTGTGTTGAGGTTTGAACTGTTGGTTGGGTAAAACAAACATTATGAAGGTGTCTCTTGGGGCTGTGGGTAAGGGTGACGCTATCTCTCACTATTTCCAGAATTTTTACAAACCAAACAATCAATCGCTTAATGGAGAAAATAATCAGCAGATTAACCCATAATGAAAATAATCATCAGATAATAATTCAAAATCAGCTCCACCTCAGCCAACTATAACAGTAAAATCCTACTTTTACATTAAAGCATGAGTCAATAATCTGATGATATCATATACAGTAGTAGACTACTACAGTCACAGGGACATTTTTACAGTACTTTTACTTGTAAAACTTTAAGTACATTTTCCTGATTATACTTGCATACTTTTACCTTTGGTAATATTTTACATACAGGTATTGGGTCAGGGTAAAAGACTCCACTCATGTAACATACCTACTGTTGTGTGAGAGTAGGTAAGATAATTATGTACTGTTTAAATCCCCAAACGTGAGCCAAGCAGGAATGGGAGGCCAAAAAAAAGTAACTGGGGAAACTATTTCATGGCACGCTGATGTGCACAGCAAATGCACATACACACACTCACAGATAGTGAACTTATGTTGGGACAGCAGGCAGGAACAGTCGTTACGCACTCTACCTCATACAAATAAGAGGAGTGGTGTCACAGTGGTGACAGTGTGTGCGTAATGGCCCGGAGCTTACAGTGTGTCGCTAGTTGCATTCAATACTAAATGAGTTGTTGAAAACTTAACTCACATGTATCAGTTTTCAAGTGGTCAACATTTTTGTGCCTCACATCCTCCATCGCTCTCTACTCCCTCTCCTCAGGCTTTTGACCTATTCTTACCTGCTGTCCTTCAATGCCTGGCTGCTGCTGGCCCCCATCGTGCTGTGTTACGACTGGCAGGTGGGCAGCATTCCCCTGGTGGAGTCGCTGGGTGACGTGCGCAACGTGGCCACCGTGCTGCTGGCCGTAGTGATGGTTGCTCTCTGCCTGCACTGCATCTTCTCACAGCAGGTAAGAGCAAGCAAGTGGTAAGTCACTGGAAAGTACCTGCAAATGACTGTGTTTCCCATGTAGTCAGTTGCCTGCCTTGCATTGTGCAACTACAGAGTGGGAAGAGGTACAAGGGCTGGAAACAGACTAGAGGTAACATGGTTTAAATAAAAACCCTATGGTTACATCACAAGAGCTCCTGTGGCAGTTAAAAAGTCCTGAAATTTAGCATTTTCTGTTGAATCTTAAGCACTGCATTGCAACCTCATTGCCACCCTGCCGACATTGCCAGGAAACTGCGTTGTAGCAAGCTTCAGAGAGCTGGGATAACAGCAGGCAGGGGGGTGGGTAGGTGTCAGATCTGTGCAGAGCACAAGGACTTGTGACGTGACAAATACTTTCAAATAAGTAAAGTCATGCGACTCCACTGTTTCTATGATTTCAACCCCAAATTTGCTGTTCACCATGTAGCATTATTAAAAAAGATAATAGGCTGTGTCCTCAGGACACATCCATAGTGCGTTTATTGCATCTTTTTAGATTTGAATGCATTAGGGATAGGAGGGGTACCTATCAACATCAATGTATTTAGGCTACTTACCTCCCACACTTAAGTCTAGGGTAAGATATCCCTACAGCCATTGGACAAATTGCCATGAAATTCGGTCTAGATATTCAGGGTCCCCAAAGTTTAATTCCCAAGCATTACTTGATGTCTGATAGAGTCTGATAGAATAATTTTGCAGTAATGACATTTTGGATCCAAAAGGTCAAAGGTCAATTTCATTGTGACATCATAATGTTATGCAAAAGTACTTCTGGCCATTATTTAATGCCATTTCTCAGGAACAGAAGGAGAGACATTTTGTCAGGTACTGAATTGGTGACACTTATCTTGGCTGTCTACCGTGAAACCGTGCTGATTGTATAGCACTCATTGTTGATAATTGGGCCAAAACCTTATTTTGAGGGGTTTTGTTTTTTACTCTTTAATTATGCTGGAAAAATGTATTATAAAAGATCAATGTCTTAACTATGAAACCTTGTAATGGGCTAACGGCCCAGGGATTACATTTTTTCTTAAATAGCATCTTTGCAGCTGAAGATTTGAATTTGTCAACTCCGTTAGGTGCACAAAAAGGCTCAGTATTATAATATAAAACATGAAGGAAATGTTTAATGATTTTTGTTATGTCTACACGGCAGCAATAGTGACCAGACACGTTATGTTTTGGGTTGTCTGTTTGGTTGTTGTTACATCCATCCCATTCTTGTGAACGTGATATCTCAAGAATGCCTTGAGGGAATTTCTTCAGATTTGGCAAAAATGTTTACTTGGACTCATGGAGAAACTGATTAGGTTTGGGGGTCAAAGGTCAAGGTCACCGTGACCTTGGGAGAACACCTTTCAGGAGTGTCTTCATATTTGGCAAAAACATCTACTTTGAGTAGATTGATTAGAATTTAGTGGTCATAGGTCAAAGGTCCAGGTCACTGTGACTTTGTCTATCTCATTCTCATGAACACAGTATCTCCACTTGGACAGATGAATAAACTGATTGGAATTTTGTGGTCAAAGGTTAAAGGTCAAAGAGACCTCACAAAACATATTTATTATTTTTTTTCATATTGGTCATAAGTCAAGAATCCATATGCTAATTATGACAAACTTGTCACACAAATGTCTGATAGGATAAATTAATGAAGTGGTGGCATTTTATATGCAAAAGGTCAAAGGTCAGCTTCACTGTGACATCATAATGTTCTGCATAAAACACTTTTCTGGCCATTATTCAGTGTCATGTCTCAGGAACAGAAGGGGAAATATTTGGTCAGATACTTAACTGGAGACACTAATCTTGGGTGTCCACCTTGAAACTGTGCTGACTGTACAGATCTCCTGTGTGTGAAGCATCCATGTTTTTACAGACTGTAAGAGAAATGTAAACTGTGAGAGAAACCATTCTGGTGTGTGGAGGTATACAACTGGGGGGCGCTAATTCTAGTTTTTGACCTTTTTCATTTGGGAGTCAGTTGGCAGGAGAAGCAGGGAAATATGGTCTGATTGTCCAAAGTGGGGGTGGGGGAAGGCTTTGTAGCTGCTAGAGTGTCCATGTAAACATGGTCAAGAGTATTGTTTTCACTGGTGGTGGTGTTGACATGCTGTGTCTGCATAAAAAGGTTCTCAATTCTTTATGTGACCTTGCCAGACTTTGGGGAGATGCAGTGACTGATGTCAGAAATCCTCCAGAGAGAAAGTTAATTGTAAATTGATTAAAAGACATGAAGGACTTGCATATTTTATTTTTAAAATATATGTGTGCACTGCTTTACTGGGAAATGGGGTTTAGAAGATTAAGAAATAGGGACAGAGGTCCCCTCGGGTTAAGTTAAAGTTTTAGTTTAAAGTTTCACAGTCTTAAAGTGTGAAATGAGTTTGAGACAGGGGTAGGGGTCCCTGCATGAGCTCAGTTACTACTCTTTAGTGTGAAAAGAGTAAAGCGCTGCAGTGGTCCTTGACCCGGGTCAGAGAGAAAGGTCAGGCCAGAGTGTGCCTAACCACACAAGACTGCAAAACGAGATACCTCACTCAAGGTTGAGCCTGAACGTTTGTAAATTTAACTTGTTGGCTCATAATCAGTCTGTACACTCAAAAGTTAGCTATGTCATGAACAATTATTTTATGTCTCGTTTATGCTATGACAGATGCAGAAGAAGGATGTGTTTAAAAAAATGCTGCAACAACACATGGACAAGACGTATATAACAATGACAAAGTGTCTCTCACTGCTTTCCTCCCTTGGCCTTCTGTTGATCCTCTGTGCATTAATAAGATTATTAACCTAAATAAACAAAGATATTAACTCATATCGCAGTGGTGCCTGGATAGCGTGACGTGTGTGGTTGTGCTGCTGCCGTGGTCCTGCCAGATGCCTCCTGCTGCTGCTGCTGCTGCTGCTGCCATCATTAGTCATTAGTCATACTTCTACTGTTATTGTACACATATGATTATTATCACACATGTATACTGCCAGATACTAATATATACTTTCAACATATTGTACCACAGTAGCCAGAACTATAACGATAATATTATTACTTTCATTAATGTTGTTGTAAGCTACTGTCATTACCGTCTGTCCTGCATCTCTCTCTCTCTCTCTCTCTCTCTCTCTCTCTCTCTCTCTTTCTGTCTCATTGTGTCATACGGATTATGCTGATCTGTTCTGTACGACATCTATTGCACGTCTGTCCGTCCTGGAAGAGGGATCCCTTCTCAGTTGCTCTTCCTGAGGTTTCTACTGTTTTTTTTTCCCCGTTAAAGAGGTTTTTTTGGGGAGTTTTTCCTTAAACGCTGTGAGGGTCCAAAGGACAGAGGGATGTTGTATGCTGTAAAGCCCTGTGAGGCAAATTGTGATTTGTGATATTGGGCTTTATAAATAAAATTGATTGATTGATTGATTGATATTTAAAATCACCCTCAAACTGCAATGGATTTAGGCGTACTTGATTGTTTTATAGTCAAGTTATAGTTTTGTGGCCTGTACTGCAAACCTTTAAACCTCTGTAGTTTCAGTGCTGTCTGCAAAAACCTTAATGTGCAGCCCTGCTATTTATTTTACATCATTTTTCATTTACATGTTATGCAGCTGTATATTTTTTTAGACAAAAAAATCTCTGCCTTTGCACTTAAAAGTGCTTGTGACATTGCAAATGTGGCTTTGACTTGCAGCTGAGCATGTAGCCTGTTTCATAGAAAACACCAAAATATGAATTTCTGTCCACATCACAAAACCCTATGTTTGAGCACCAAGTTGGTGTGAAGACATCGTCCTCTCTTTTGAATTTTTTATGGCACCTAAAATAAATGTACTGGTTACTAAAGGGCAAAATATTGTGCTAGACTGTAGACACACTTAAAACACAATGACAAACACAAATATACAACATGTTCTCATCTAGTCACCAAGGTTTAGGTGCATGAGGCAAAAACACACAGATTTTATACACATCTTCCCTCCTTATTGCTTCACATTTTAAAGCCAGGCTCATACACCTCCTGTTACCATGGAAACAGAGCTTGCTGTGTGAAAAGTGTGTATTTCTGTATTTATACAGTGTGTTTTTCAAAGGCGTGTTGTCTGTGGAAAGAGGTTTTGTGTCTCTTAATCAGCACCAGCTTTTTGTAATATCTCCTCTCCTCCCTTAGCACTTTCCTTATTTATTTTTCCCACAGTTCCTCTCTGTTGATCTCTATCCTCCATTTCGATTAGATTTGGTGTAAGGAGTCTTTTTGTACTGTGCTGCGGAATTTTTTTCTTGGCAGAAAATATAATTTAGTCACACTGAATGCTACCAGGTGTTGCTGCTTCTCCTCAGGCTGTTTATTTTGGAGATCTGTTTTCGTATCTGGTAACCTTCTCTCTGCACCAAAGAAGTTGTGACTGTCATGCTTGTGGGCCCTTCCACTTTGAGATATCAAAATAGTTTTCTTTTCATTTAGCAGAGCTTCCATGGAGACGGAGAGGGACAGCTCTTGTTTTTTTGAATGTACAAGTATTACCACTTAATTTGCCCAGAATTTTTTTTATAATTGTTCCCCGAGTTTAACTTATCTGAGGAACAAATAGGAATCTCCGTTCTGCACTGCCTGAGGTCCAAACCCACAAAATTTTGCAACTGAAAGTACCCAAACTTATCCACAGGGACGGATGTATGAAATGCAACTTCAAAAAATGCCTTCAGAATCCATATCTGTGGACAAAGCCAGGCTAGTCGTTTCCCCCCTGCCCTCAGTCTTTATGCTAAGCTAGGTTAGGCAACCCTCCTCAGCTCCTCCTTTTCATGTTTGTCATTGATGCTGCTCTGCTGTGTTCCTGGGAGGTCTATGCTGCTGCTCTCCCTGCTATACCACAAACTAAAATACTGCGATGGCAATATAGTTTTCTTTGACTAAAGTGGTCCTGACTGAACTGCATTTTTCTGCCTTTTGTTTTTTTTTTTTTTACATTTTACCTTTT